CATGTGAAATTTTAACAAAAAATCTGTCTTATTCAAGTCCTCAGCCCAATACCCATCATATGTTGACTGTAATGAGGTATACCTAAAAGCTTTTGCAAGCTGCAAATTGCATGAGCATAAAAGATAATTGATTTGGTCGTAAAAGATAGAGCAAAGATCTCAAATTACCTCGATTATAGTGCGCTCTATAAATGAATTTGGTTGGGTCAAAGGCTTGGCCAAGTTATTATATTATATGTCAGGAATGGCTCCATGGCTGCAGCTTTGAGAAAGTCATTCACTTTAAAGAAATCTTTAATAAGTGTGCAGCACATCGCATAGCTCAGCAAATTTCATGACAAGCACTGAGTGTGTGTCGCTTGGCTACAAAACTTTACAGACTTAGTACTCAGAGCTGAAGTATGTGAAAGGCATCTCCCGCCCTCGCCCTCTAGGCCAGCTCGATGGCATCTCTCTATGGCATATGGCGACAGCAGCAGATAACCTTTTGAGCCAGCCAAATACTTGAAAAACTGTTGCACTGCAACTTGTGCACATTCGTTTGGAAAATTTTAATAATCTTCTATCAGTTCTTCATATTAAAAAGTTCTTAGACTCGCATATCTACGAGGCCTATCAAAGCCGCACGCATTGTCGCTGAACTTTGAACTTTTAACCTCAGCGGCGAGAGTTGAACACCATTAGAAATCGTCTCGATATCACATGCTCTGCCTGGTGTCCTTCACTCGCCAGGAGCTGCTAATGCATTCATAGGCTGCTGCACAGCTCAGTGAAGCTGCGTCAACGTGATTGCAGCAGAGCATGAAATGAGCTCTGCTTTGCTTATTTATTGTCTTCAGACTGAGGCAACAAGGCTCTGCTAATTACGCCCGTTCATGAAGTGAAAAGGAGTATATTGGATTTGGTTAGCCTGCGACTTTGATGTGAGTTTGGCTGCAGACTTGAAGCTTGAAACTTGTGATGTCAAGTGAAGCCGTGTCGGTTAAGCTTGTGGCAAATTGGGAGTTACTAAAACAAGATACGACATGGTAGATGAAGAGTTGACATTTTGATGGATATACTCGAGTATATATATATGTGTGTAGGCAAGCGAGGGACTTGGAGGTCCTGTCTACTCAAGTAGTCATACCTCTTGCATGCGCATGCAAGCAGCGCGTAGATAGGGACTAGACTACCTTTCGCTTAAGAAAATGCTCAGTTTATATAAAGCGACATCTATTGGGGGATTCTAAAATTGTGAAAAAAATATATACTTCAGACTTTAACAGAACTTGAAAGTCAAGCAACTGAGCTGCTGTTTAAGCTTCTACACAGAACGAAGTCAGACAACTCAGTTGAGCTCGTCTATAAATTGAAGCAATATTATACACAAATGACCCTTTTTAAGGGCGTGGCATATCTTTAATTAAGCTATGCAGTTTTTGTGGCACGAGCGAGTATCGAGCAGTCGATAATCCAGCAGACTAAAAAAGACAGATTAAAACTCAACTGCTTAAATCGAATCTGAGCCAAGCTCCACTAGCGCAGCGCTGTTCCAATTTGCTCAGTGACTTTTTTCGAGTTTTGTGTGTGTTGCGCAGGCGGCGAGGGGTCTGAACTTGTTTGCCATTTGTTTGTCTAGTTTACAATGCAATTAACCCATTTTAAAGTTTCGGCTGTCGGCCACAGCAAACTGACTGACAAAAGACTTGGCTTTTCCCTTCCGTCTGTTTCTGTTTCGCCTTTATCCACGTCCCACTGGGGCCCATCCTGTGTCAGCGTCTGCTGGCAGAAAATCAGTTTAACCAGCAAAAACTGATTGCGCAGGCAACTTGTAGCTCGCAATTATACCGCAAAGTGCAATTTATAGGGCCAAAAGGACCAAACGGAACTTGGCCAAAAGCGAAAGTCACCAAAAAGTTAAGGTTAGATAGCAAATGACTTGAACGAAAATTCCAAAACCAACTGCAATCGCACGTAAAATGTTAATGAGAAACACTTAAAGATGATGCGACCAGCAGTAGGAATATTCATCTCAGCAGCAGCGTCCGAGGAGACAAATGCTCTACCAAAGCATTTCAACTAAATTTGTTAAGGCAGAAATCAAAGTCAAGATCTTTGCTGGAGCAATAAGTCCAGCGACTGCCCTGTGAGACGGTGTCATAAATTAAAGCTAAACCAAAATTACGCGCACACAGCATGCGGCCTATGATGTGCAGTATATAACAGGCAGGCCCTGTAGGGAGTGCTCGACTAGGAGATACCTGTAAGCCAGCACAGAGCTGTACCTTTAAGCTTAAGATACTGTCAGTATGCATGCGGACACAATAACATGCCCACAAGCAGCACTAGCTGTTTGGTCTTCATACAGGCATCCTCTGTAAGAAATGAACTGATTGAACTCGGGTTCTAGATGTGCGAACCTAATGAAATTTTGAGGGTATAAAAAGGATTTAAAAGTGTCGATATATACAAAATTTTAAGACTCTATCAGCTATTTTTTTCGAATTCTGAGGAAATTAGCAAAATTATTAAGACTCAGCAAATGTTATAAGTCTGACATTTCTCTAAGCGCATCTATATACCAAATTTTGTACATCTATCATTAACATTTTTCAAGTTATGTATAAAAGCCTGCTGGAAATATCGATATTTATCGATATAATCAATGTGGCATGAGGTATCGAAAGAAAGTCTACGATATTTACAGCGTATAGTATACAGGATTAAATATATCAACGCTGAAGTCTTTAGCTTTTATATTTCTTGAGATATATGCATTCGCACAAACTCAAGAATATCTAAACTTGGATTCAGCTGTTGATTCTAATCAAGTCCATGTATGCATTTTGGCATCAGCCGCACCCCTTTCTGCTGCCTGCTACATACACTCTCACAAAACCAATATACCCTATTCAATTTCATGCTTAAAGCTGTACAGGGTATATAAATCTGTAGGCCATGCAACCATAAAACTGATAACCTTGGCCAACAGCAACATAGAGTAATGTTGAACCGTCTAAGATGACAATGGCCAATGGACAATGGAGGCTGGCTATTTGTAGAGTCTCCCGCTGCGTTGCCTCCTTATATGGCAGACAGGACGATTTTGTTTATGACTCTTTAGCACCACGTGATAAAAGCTTTTTCGGCCTGCAGAAGACCAAAGGCCGGCATATATAAAAGCTTCTAACTTCCTGCTGACCTCCGTTCCTATAAAATACCTTACATCATTTTGAGTAATTACATGGCTAGCACAGACACACACAGATATATACATATATATACATACATCTGTCTGTGTGTGTGTGGCAGCACCTCGCTTCGGAGCTGTGCAGCGTACGAAATAGATACAAATATTTTATTGCTCCTCGAGGACATGAAGCGACGGGAGAGAACCTTGCGCCGCCTCGGGCTATCCATGGCAATAATGAATACGATAGATAATTATATACATGACGTCCTCTTAAACACAAGCGCAGTGACTTTAATGGGTTTGCCAACTGCACGGGGCCCGGCCGCTTCATAGACTGTAGACGGTTCGGTTCCTTCAGTTATATCGACTCGGCTCGGCACGGACTAATCTAAATTTATAACTTTATTTTTTATGAGCAGTCGCGTCTTGCCCGCAGCTCCCAACTTCAAGCCACCCAAAAAAAAAAAAAAAAACAAGTAGCGACTTTTACAGCTTTAAAGCAATTGCAATACCCTGTACTCATAGGAAGTGGGATAAACGGGTTATACTGCGATGAGTCATCGGCGTTTTGGTATGAACTTTACAATCTCGAGGACTACAAAAGCTAGAGACTTGAAGCATTGCATCTCTTAGCTGTAGTAGTTTCTTCATTTAGAACCTAAAGCTCGTACCAAAATTTAATCCATCCATTTCTCATAGTTTGAGCCTGTGGGAAGAGCAAGTGCAGTCAGCGTTGTCACGCTCACAGCTGGACTGTTCGGTCAGGGTATGTGCTAGTCGGGCACAAGAGCAGTCTGAAGCTTTTTTGCCGTTTATGGTTTTGCGAGTCACTGTGTTTTTTTTTGCCCTGCTCGAAAGTGATAATGAAATAATTTGAACTTTTTTGTTTGCTTATTTTTCTTGGGTTCTTGGGCTGTGGGTAAGCCCACAGCCAAGGGTCACACATGCAGTGGCCAGCGTTTGTCCCTGCTGCTTGCCCATTACAAAAGGCAAACTCATTAAATTATGTAAAACTTTGTCTTTAAATATGACAGCAGAGCAGAGTAGACCATGGCAGACCCAGGCAAGGGCTTGTGTGCATATATGAGTATGTCCTTAAGAGCAATTCGTTATTTGACTATGAACTTTACAGTTAAAGTTTCGTTTACTTTGCTCCTCATCTCCGTCGGGCGTTTACTTCCCCCTAAACATGCGCTGCACTTGCTTCTTAAGCTCTCTTTCAGTTTGCACTCTGGGGATTATTAAAAAACAAGGCTTGTCTGCGTAAATAAGCTTGTTTGATAAAAGTGATGACATTTTTGGAGTGTCAATAAAAATACTTTAAAATTAATATATTGATATTTAAAGCTACCTTCAAAAATATCTATGAATATTTATGAAAATCTCTGATAATTTTAAATATTTGTCTAATTTTTTTTAAACTATTTTAAGGTGTTCTTTTTACTGAGAGCTGAATGTATCGGACAAGAGTGGAAATATTTCTAAATATTTTAAAAATATTTTTAAAGAAAAACATACGAAAATATTTATAGATCTCTCAAAATAATTCCAAAATATTTTGAGGTTTTATAAAAATAAGCTTTTGAGTAATTTACAAATATTTTTAGATATTGTAAATATTCTTTTAAATATCCTAAACATTTTTCAATATTCTGAAAATGTTGTTATATGTTATTGAATATTTCTGCATATTTTAAAAATTGTTTTGAATATTTCCCAAATTATTTTTGATATTTTTAAACAATTTTTTATTATATATATATGTGCAAGTTTAAAAAGCTTAAATTAAATTAATAAAATATATTTTTTTCTCATCTATTTTTAGATAATTGCGAGACGTTTTAAACATTGTGTGGAACCCTCGAAGAGAAAAACGAAAGTGATGTTATATGTACTTGAGAGTTACAAGTGAATATAAAAGAACATTTGAGCAGAAAGAAATAAATTTAATTAAAATTTGAGTGCTAAAATAAAGTAAGGACTTAAAAAACAAAAACAAAGGACAGAAGACAGAAGACGGCGCTCGAGTATTTCATAAACCATATCAATTACAGTTGACACAGCTCGAGACCACTTCAAGCAATTACAAGCAAAGGCTGCGACTGCGTCTGCTTCTGCGTCTGCTTCTGCGTCTGCGTGTGCGTATGCGTTTAGCACTGGCAAACGCGAAACAATGAGAATCATTTTACGTAGCATACGTCGCGGGAATTTAGCGACTTCCTCGACGAGCCAACGCCCCCGCAAAATGAATTGTTCCATTTTGATTGTAATTAGCCTGGGCTGGTTGCTACACGCGCATTGCTATGCCGATGCTGCCATTTCGAATCGAGGTAAGTAGACACAAACGCGCCATCTCCCTTCCACACTCTTTCGCGCTACCTCTCCCTCTCGCCCCAGCCTTGGCTTGCCTGAACAAAAGCTGCTTCATGCCACTAAAAGCATGAGTGCCCGCTGGCATTTTAGGTGAAGTTAGGGAGCTGGAAGTGATGCCAGCTCTGTGCCGCAGCTTATGCATTTAACGTGTACAACTTTATATATGATATATATATATATACATTTTTTTCATACTTGTGTCTGTACAACTCTTCACTCCCACTAGCTAATATACCCTGTAAACTAGCAATGAAAACAAAATTGAGTAAAGTTGTTTAAATTAATGCAACATCTATGGCATCTTCCAGTGTAGCTTCCTTATAAATTGACTCTATAATAATATAATATAATATTTGTTTATCCTAAATTTTTAAACTTCAAATTCATTGAAAATTGACTAAGTGCCCAAAGGTTTCAGCCATCAATTTCATATTAACTTTTAAATTTTAAATTTTAACTTTTTCTACTTTAATTCAAGTCTGGAATTTTCTCTTCTGCTTGCTTTTCAAAGACATTTTATGTTTGATATTTTTATAATTCTAATTTCTATACTTTAATTTCCTTTATTGAAATTTCAAATTTCCTGCCTGAACATGAAATATACAATTTATCTGCTCTTAAAACATATATAAGTATCTTACAGCTTTATCTAAATAATCGAATATCTTCATATTTTATTTCTAATAGTAAAGCTGAAGGAAGAAGTTGTATAACCTATATATAAAAATCTATATAATTGCTTCTATGTAAATAGGTAATACCCGGCATGCCAGGTATCTCCCAGTCCATCATTCCCATTGGGAAATTTGCAATTTGTGCTTCTTTTTCCCCTGCCAGAAGCACTTTCAACCGACGTTAGTTGCATTTATGTTTTTGCATAATAGAAAATACGCGAGCACGCATTTCGCAGAGCTATCGCGAGCATATTTAAATGCTAACTAAATCCGTGTGGCGAGGCCCTTGAGCACGTTGCCCTAATCGCTCTGAACCGAACCGCAATGCTTGAGCTGAGTAACCATGAAAAAACATTAAAAGTTCGCTTAAGTACACAGAACGCAAAGCTCTGACCGACACAAAAAATGCTGAAGAAATGCTAGAAAAATTTAAGAATCTCAGACAAAACGTAACAAATGTTTCAACAAATTTGCCTGCCTGCCAGCCAGCTGCGAACCGGAACAGCTGCCAAAATGCGATGAACTTTCAATTTGAAAGTTTATAACAGGAGCCGAACCTGTGGCCCAGCAGCCGGAACCGGGCAGCCAGTCGCAAATTGCAAATTCTTGAAACTATGCCGAGAGAAATGCTGGTTACATTGCGCAAATAGTTTGGCTTATCTTGGCCGCAAGTTTATCTTGGGCGACGACTTTGCTTTGCTTCTATTAGGCAATGAAAAACACAAAATAAATTGAAAGTTCAGGTGTGTGCGACTTTAAGCATTAAATCTGGACAGCCCACCTGGCTAGGTAGCTGGCGGGCTGGCTGGCTGGCTGGCTGGCTGGGCTATAAAAACAAATTCACATGCCAGGGCCATATTTTTTGCCTTAGCAACTTCTACAAAAGCCGAGCAACCAATCGATAAATTTAAGAGCCCAACATTTGTCTCCATTATCGCAGAAATCCAAGGCAAACGCGCGTAAAACAAAACAACTGAAGGCCATTGCAGACGGGCCTAACTGATTGCATAATACTCGCTGGCAAACATAGCAGGTGAATCTATAAGAGCTGCAGTTGCGTAGCCACGCCCACAGCAGATGTGTATCTACAACATTTGCTACATCTATAGAGCAACAAGCAACTTATATATAACAAGTTATTATCTGAAGAGTCAGACACTTCTCAGAAACTGGAGCTGCCCCTAAGGAACCTTTATATATAAACTTTTGAGCTGTCATTTACTTTTCAGAATATATATTTTGAAATTCCAAATCTCTAACTTGCACAGCGCTTAAAAATACTTCTCAGCTGACAAGCTTACAGTAGGCTTAAGCTAAGTCCATCTAAAGACATTTCCAGACCAGTTTATACAGAAAACCCATATACCCATCCCCACTGTATGAGCGAGTATCACACGAAAAAAAAGAGAAATATGTGAAAACTGCGAAGCGCATAAAAGGACCATCGATGCGTGGCGCAGCATGGAATTGCCAACGTTTTTTCGTCAACCTGTAGGCGGGAGGCGTGTCTGTAACAATGGCACTGAAAAGGCGTGTACTCTGCGAAAACAAAAACACACAACAATAATAGACGTGCACACACACACACACCAGCATAGCCGCACACACGGAGAAGTGAACAGCAGCAGTAAAGGTATATCACAGCTGGAAATGTGCCTTTGTCACTGATCATAAATTTGTGAACTAGCTGCGTGAGCGTGAGTGTCATGCCCATTGCGAAAGTTCTCTATTGTTCTTGAGTGCAAAGGACACGGCAATAAAACGTAGCTATTGACAGCAACAAATGTGCAGAGGAGGAGGCAAGGCGACGAGCTTCCGCTGCAAATTGGCGGCATCGCCCTAACGTGGCTTATTGAGCGGCCAAATAGCATTAGCTGAAAAGTCCTTAGCGCTTACAGATTTGTGGCCTGACCCATTTTCCAAGACTTGGATTTGGAGCAAGCACTTAGCACACATCAAGCGACAATAGTTTATACTGTCGCATTATTATCGCAGCACGAATGGAAGACTGCATCACACGTAGACCTGCCCCTGAAGTGCACCAAACAACGCCCCCGCTCCTATGTCTGCCTGCCTATTTGGTAGTTTTGTTTGGCATTTTAAGTGATTTCACTTAAATTTTCATAACAAAACATGAAGAGTGCGTGCTCTGTGGCTCGTGCATGCTGAGCACGATGTACAGCAACACTGGCTGAGATTGGATGAGAGCCGAGGTGAGAGGATGAACCCACATACATGTTCTAGCTGTCATACACACATGTATATATATCTAGCTTAAGTACCCTTTGCCAAATAGTTGTAGCGGGAATGCCGTTTTCCTGCACTTGCCACATAAGCGGCTTTGGCTGATGGATACTTGCACATATCTCGAAAAGTATAAGTGCTAGAGATTTGTAAATTGAGATGTGTATTTTTATGAGATATTCGCACTTGAATATAGAAGCTTTCGTTTTATATCTCATGTCAATTTCATAATATCGATAAATATTTGCTAATTTCAGTAACTTGATAGCTATATAAACTAAAGAGATCACAATGGGTTTTTAAGTTTATTCGATATGTACACTGCTAAGCATTATTTTCAGTTTTGGAAATGTTCCCCATTCCAAGCCAAGTTTTCAAAGAAAAACCTCATTTCATATTATACAGACTTATGCTTTGGTACACACGCACATTTAGCTGTTATATTGAAGCACTGAGTATATCAAAATAATTGCACATCTAGAAGCAGAGTTCAAACAGCCTGCTTCTAATAGTGAAGGGCTGTCTAAAGAACAAGAGCAAGTACAGTTAGTGTCTCACATAGTTATGCCAAGATAGAAATACCAGCTGGGTATTTACTAGTCGTTCACTTCCTCCTAGGAGCACTCTTGTTTGTACAGATTTTTTTACGGATTTCTTGCGCTGCGAAACCGCATTTTATATGTTTTGCTTTTGTAAAATTTTTTTCATAGATTTAGTTTTTTGCCATACGCACGCCCCTGTAACACACATTCCAGGCACACGCTACACACAACACACACCCATACACATTCATGAGAAACATGTTAGCATAGCAACGAGCGCATAGACCATATATATAGAGATTCAGATCCAGCGAACAGGGAACAGGCAAACTGCATGACATGTTGTACGTGTTTATATGCAGTTGCCTTGCCTTCTGTTGCTGTTGCTGTCGCTGTCGCTGTCGCTGCCGACGTCGCCGTCGACGTCGACGCCTGCTTGCCATCTGTTCGCGCGCTCATCCGTCCGAATGCTGGGCTACGCCCCGCTGTGGTTGTAGTATTATATTTGCGAATCCCTTTGGGTATGTTGGCAGCAATAAATTTTCATCAGTCCTACAACTCCTGCTGCTGCTCCTCTTCCCGCTGCTGTTGCCGCTGTTGCTGTTGCAGCTATTTTTCCTACTTCACGCCAACCGCGCCTCCATCACCATTAACTAACAAACAACAACCAACGCCCAGCACTTGGGTTGACTAGGCCGGCTCCAGCGCTGATGCTGCTCTAGCTGCTGCTGGATAACAAATCTCTGGCTCAGCTGGCATGTTTTGTTGCGGCTTTTTACGAATGCGATTTGATTGTTTGTCATATTTTTACGAAATCGTTTCTATTACTGCCCTCGTGCTTTGTTTCACGGATTTGGCTTCTTGTGTCCTGCGCGATAACGAAATAAACCTGATTGATTTCGAATTAATAGTAGGCTTTATCAGTTTCAAACAGTCTCATCTGTGTGTGGGCGTCGTTTCATAGAACTAACTCGATATGTATTCTGCAGAGACAGGGCATTATAGTTATAGGTGAGTCATAAAGAAAGCCATATTAATTGGGTTTTTCTCTGTATTTCTGTGGTGTAGTCCGTGTAGCCGACTACGTCTATATGAAACCTTCTCTATGAATACGTCTATATGAATACGTCTATATCAGTACATCCATCTCGTAGTCCGGCTAATGTGAAAGATTTGCATGTGCAAGCACAGCTCACGTTTGCCCCAAAGTTTCGATAACATTTTAAGTAAAAGTTAAATAATAATAAATATCGATATGAACAATATTGAACACATAAAGTCCGCTTAAAGAGCTGACTGCTAAATGTGCAAAGTACGTCAAATATATGCTATAACGATACCTCAAAGTGTACGTAGATACAGAACCTTCCATCTTTTCTATGCCTTCCTTTAGTTCTCTAAAGTTGGGAAAGATCGAAATTTTTAGTTTGACCCATATCCAAATTGCAACATCTTTTCTCCACTGACATTATCTAAAATGCTTCAAAAATCACCTATTCAAATCAGTTCGGGTATATCCTAGCCAAGCACATCCGCTTACAGCAAATTCGTAGCTTTAAACTGACCTTTTAAGGCATGTCCATGACTCGTTTGCCTTCGATTGAATGAGCTAAACTGTCTCAGGGCCAACCTTCTTGGTAGCAACGCACGCAAAGAGAGAAATGTTTCAGCTTTGTCTGGCTCGTTAGCGCCTCAAAATATGCTACGAAAAAATACGAAATTTGTATAAAATTCAGTTTGAGGCAAAAATCAATGGAAATGGCCGCAAGCACATTGAAAATCTCAGTGATTCCCAGGCATTTAACTTCTTCTTGGTGCCGTTGCAGTCATTATCACGGCAATAATTACCAACAGCTGCACATTTACATTTACATCCTTGAAATGCAAATGGCTGTGTAATGACGACAGTACGAAAACGTTTTTACTGCCTCTCGGCGATAGTCGCAACTGTTGCAGCAACTGTTAAAAGAAAGTAGTTGTTGCCACTTGTCTTGCAGGCGGACTCTGCAGCGAGAGCTAATTAACACGTTCATTGAAAATAATATGCTACAGCGATAGCAATACAATACCTTAAAGCAGGTGAACAGCTTGAGCTGAGCGGCAGCTATCGATAGTCGAGCAGATTGAACTGAAAACCAGCTATAGACAGATAGCTAAACAGCTGGAGCTGACAATTTGAGCAGTTGAAATTGATGAATATGTGGCATGAAATACAAGATGAAAATAGTAAATCAATAAGAAGTTAGAACAGATGTACTTATGTTAAAGTTGACTTAAGGGAGTATAGAGAGTATAGAGAGTATAGAGAGTATAGAGAGTATAGAGAGAATAGAGAGCATAGAGAGTATAGAAAATATAGAGAGCATAGAGAGTATAGAGAGTATAGAGAGTATAGAGAGTATAGAGAGTATAGAAAGTATAGAGAGTATAGAGAGTATAGAGAGTATAGAGAGTATAGAGAGTATAGAGAGTATAGAGAGTATAGAGAGTATAGAGAGTATAGAGAGTATAGAAAGTATAGATAGTATAGAAGGTAAAGATTGTTTAGAGGGTATAGATAGTATAGGAGGTACAGAGAGTATGTAAAGGGTATGTATATTTAATGGTTATACGTACAATGTCCGAGCTACAGTGAATTTTGTTAAACTCCTCGTCACTCCAAAAGACGCCTCTTAGAAAGGCTCAAATGAACTGAAATTAACTTGAACTACAACGAGTTTTGGTCCTTCCAAGAATCGTCGATCTTTGTGGTACCTCAAACAAATGAATAGCCAATCTATAAAGGGAATCATCGGTAAATTACTGGGAAGATACAAAGGGCTTATCATGCCCCAGCTAGTATAAATATACCCAACACATCACACAAGTAGCATTTAGTAGAAGTTACACTTGTGGCAGTTACAGCAGAGCATTTGATACGTTCCAAACTGTCACTACTGCAAACACTTCAAATTTGTAGCTTGCAAAGATATGCTCAAATTTCAAGTCCTTAACTTTAATAGCCCCAGAACAAAGCCCAATTTGCCAGCTGCCCAATGAGTGTAGTAGAGGCAAGTGTACAGGTAGCCAAACGAACTGCCAAGCGTACATGGCTTAAAACTATATACTCTTTTTTATATACTCTTTTTCAGTGCTCAAAAATTAAATATTTGAAAAGCCAGCGAAGAGGCATCCACACACACACGCACACAGAGCCAGGCAGAGCCATAGAATCACAGAGAGAATTGCTATATGGCACGAAATGTTTGCGGCACGTCACAAAAGTTTCCTGTTGAATTTCCCTTCATTTCCTGCCAAAAGAGAGATTATTATTATTTTCATTCACTGAGCCATGATTACAGACAGTCACAGCTCAAGAGCGAGAGAGGCAGCGAGAGACACTTGCCGCTCTTGACTATATGTTTGCCTGTGTCACGTTCATTAACGCATCATTTGCGGAGCGCAAGGAAAGCAAATGAAACAGCTCAAGGTGGCTTGACGAAGACTGACCATATACTCCTCGCATATCCTTGAAGCAGTTCATGGCCTTGGCCAGGCTGAATCGACATCGACATCGCCGTCGCCTTCGTCGTCGTCGTCATTGCCATCATCAACGCAGTCGTCTCGTATATTTGCATACTTCCGGCGAACGGCGAAATGATTACCATTATTATTTTTGTTGTTTGCTGTGGCCATAAACGTTGGCATTATGGTTATTACACTACCAGCGGCACACTTTACATTGCCAACAAGCCACGTTCCAAGACCAATGGCGTAAGGCGAACGGCGAACGGCAAACGGCGAACGGCGAACGGCGAATGGCCGCCAACAGTCATGCGGTTATGGCTTATTTGTGCAAATGAGCTGCTGCAGCTCGTTTATTGTCATATTCCGCTCAGCAGCTGCCAGCTAAATGCAAATGTTTCCCTTGGCCAGCAAGGTGCTGGGGCATAGCAGCAGCAACAACAACAAGGTCAGGCCATTTACTAAGGTCGTATATGTGTGTAATCTATCTAGATTGATCCATGTTCAAATGAGCTTAATTGACTTTTGATATGTGCATGCAGGAGCAGTCTGTCACAGGCAGCTGATGCATCTGCCTCTACTTTATGGCTCAGAAAGCAGCTAAATTCATTAAGAAATCAAAGCTTATCAATTTGGCATGGCTCAATGAGCGAAACTAGCTTCAGCTCTGATGATTTCTAGCCTTTAACGCTTAACTTAAACTTAGTCTAGTATAGCTTAAGCTGAGCATCTTTAAAGAACTTACAGAGCCATGTTAACTTGCTTAGACACTTGGACTCACTCTGCTTAGGACTAATCAGCTCAGCATTGGCTGTCACTGTTTGATTGTCTTTCGAATCTTATTTACTTTTCTTAGTTATGCCCAAAACTGCTTAAGGCTTATAGCTTTCAAAGCTGCATGATCTTAGCTCTGAAGTTGTCAAAGTTATATGGGCTGACCGCATAAGAGCAATAGTAAAAGAAAGTGCAATAAAGGGGCAATTGTTATTGATATTAGTTTGCTGCTAATTTTATATTAAAGCTACATCTATGCCATTTGATATGAGCTCAGACTTCATTAAAATATTTATTAAATTTTTGATGACTTGGTTCGCAATGTTGACTACCAATTCAGCTGCTCAGTATGGAATCCACTTTTCTGTGCCTGCTTTAATGCTAGTTGCAATGGCATTTATATTTATTACATACTTACCAATCTGCAGCTTAGTGTTAGACCTTAGATTGCATAGAGTAAGAATACTCAAATATGTCAACTGTAATACAGTAAAGACTTGCACAACGGAATCTCGCAAGGCGCATTGCAAGCCTTTCCTCTAGCTTAGCTAATGTAAGCCAATTTATAATTAAACAGCAAACTCTTTTAAATATTTAAATAGTCAAGCGTTATCAACAACTTGTAAGGCAGCTGAAGTATAGTCATGGCCAATAGCAACACTCTATTCTATCTATAAACTATTCCCACATGAACTGTAGAACCCGCCCAAGATGTCTTTGGTCTACCCCACTTCCCTCAGCTGGCTGTTTGTCATAATATATATATATTGAGATATATATATTGATCAGAAATTGCGAATAGTCTTGCAGGCGTCATAGCTCTGTCGTCATTGTTGTCAGTATAGCTAGTCTGGCTGCTCTGGGGGCCAATGGCCACTCGCTAAAATTCCACTGCTGGCAACATTTAGCTTCGGGGTCAATTGGGCGCTGGTAATGATTCTCATTTAGCGGTCATTATCATACGCAGCTTGGCCGGCCAGCTGAGCACGTGGGCCTCTGCGCGCTGTTGGGCCACAGAATAACATCGACTTTCGAGCTGTGCGAAACGCTGAGGAATTTCGTGTTGGCATTAAGTGAACCAGAGAATCCTGTGTGACAGCTCTCCGATGGCGCCAAATGTTGTTGCCTTTTTGTATTATACGGTGCAGGATCTGTACGATCAGCACAAAGATCCGCGCATCGCTCACTTGCCGCTGACGGGTGGAATGTGGGGCGTGGCGCTCGTGATCATTGGATATTTGGCATTTGTGCTGCATTTCGGGCCCAAATGGATGGAAAAGCGCCAGCCGTTCAAGCTGAAGTTCGTCATGCAGCTGTACAACGTCGTTCAGGTGGTGGCCAACTCGCTGCTGTTCGTCTACGGCGTTTACTACTCGCTGCTGCAGCCCAGCTTCAGCTTGAGCTGCCAGCCCGTGGAGCACGATAATACGACGCCGCAGATGATGAGGCTGATTTATGCCTCCTATGGCTACTACTTGCTCAAATATCTCGATCTCTTTGATACGGTCAGTGGCAGCAGCTGGCGCTTCAACTGTGCTTGGCTAAAACAGTTACTTCTCTGCTCTTTCGCAGGTCTTCATAGTGTTGCGCAAGAAGAACTCGCAGGTGAGCTTCCTGCACGTGTATCATCATGCCGGCATGATCTTCGGCGTCTACGTCTATATGACCTTCTTGGCGGGCTCGCACTGCACCATGCTGGGCGTGATCAATCTGTTCGTGCACTCGGTCATGTACGCCTACTACTTTGCCAGCTCTCTGGGCGCCGTGAAGCACCTGCTCTGGTGGAAGCGTCACATCACCCAGCTGCAGCTGCTGCAGTTTGGCTTCTTGACTCTGCACTTCCTGCTCGTGATCGTGCGGAATCCCTGCCAGTTCCCAGTCCTGATATCGTTCATTGGCTTCATACAGAACATTTTCATGTTCGCCATGTTCTTCGACTTCTACTACAAGACCTACATACGCAAGGCCAAGGCGGCAGCAGAGACCGCAACAGACTCTAAGGCGCAGCTCAGTTGAGTTCGATGGCCACAAATTTAATTTCTAAGTTTTAAGTTTTCTATGCCTATTCCATTATGCAGCAATATATATATATATATAGTCGGGCTAAGCTCGCCCGATATGAATAAACATCATTTTGACTGCCCTTGAATTTAGCGAGCTTACAAATTCCATTAGAAGCGCCGACCTACCTTGATTGAATTAAGTTTTCCGAGTAATCAATCGATAATCATTGGGCTCTCCACTTCGAACATGTTTTTCCTGTTTTCTGTTGGGGTTTTTCGGGTTTTTCGTGCCTTGATTTCCTCTGCTTTTGCCAAATACATTAAAACTTTTCTAATAATAAAGTTCGGCAGCCGAAACCAAGCGTAAATATTGAGAACAGAAACTCAAAAGACATGTTCAGCGAGAGCGAGAGAGAGAGAGGGAGAGGGGTAAAGGGAGAGAGACAATGCTCCCAGCATCTTTAATAGCAACTGTAACAGGCATCAACTGCGTCTGCAGAGCAAACTGAAGTGCGAATGCAAATTTATATTGTAAATTATTTAATATCAATTTGATAGTTCGCAGTTTTTCATTTACGTTCGCTGCCATTTGCCGTAATCCCGCCACAGATTTAAAGCGATTAACAATTTTTATCGTTCTCATCAATGCAAATTTGCTGTCGCCATTATCTCGGCTATAATTTCATTTAATTGAGATTATATCGGTCTTAAATACTTTTTACATTTTTATTTAAATATATATATATAATGTATATAATATATATATATATGTAAGTCTATGTATGTGTGTATTCGTATATGTAAGAATTACATTATTTTATGCCACATCATGGGGGGAATGCACTTAACTTTTATACCCTGTGCTCACTGAAAAGTGCTGAGGTCTTTCTGCACAGTGGCAGAGAAGGGCTAATCAAACCCAGCATGTTGCTATTTATCTTCTTGTTAAGGCGAAGCTGAGTAGATCAAGATGTGATCATCTATCCTTCTGCTCGTCTGCCCATCCATTCATTCGTCTGTCTGTCCGCCCAGACTGTCAATCAATTTGATTGAACTCGTTAACTACAAAAGACTAAGGACAACATATAGACTAGTATTTATATTTATTTTTTATACATAAATATATATTTATGTATTTTTATTTTTTTATTTATATATATTTTTATTTTATTTTATTTTTTTATTTATATATATTTTTATTTATATATATTTTTATTTTATTTTATTTTTTTATTTATATATATTTTTATATATATTTATTTATTTATATATATTCACACATTTTTTGTTATCGATATATATCGACTATGCGATAAAGAACATAAAAGCTAAACAGTCAGAAATTTGACTGACTAAAACCTAAGTGAGCTTGAGCTTTCAGATATTTCAACTCAATAGCTTCCATAATCAAGGTAAACCCAATCTATATTGCAAGCTAGAGTCTTGAAACTTAATACACATGCAAAAGAGGCTGTCAAATTCAAGCACTATAAATCTTTGTGGTAGGGGGCTGTATGAAGAAGAAGAAGGGGACTGTGTGTATAGCAAAAGCCTGGAGTGACTGAGGCACTCTCAGGTCTGCTTCAGGGTATTTGCTAGTCGTGTACCGCCGACTAGAGCACACAACTTTGTTGTCATAATAAATACTTTTAAAAGTGCTCCGGCTGCCCATTGAGCATTTGCAGTTACCCCGACAACACCTGCGCACTCACACCGCAAGCAATTTTGTTAATTTGAAATCTGTGACAGGCAAACACGCATGCAACAACGGCAACTAAATAATTAACAAATAAATCAAAGTAATTAACTTCGGGTCATCATGCAACAGGTTAAGGGGGTCAGCTGGAGTCGGAGACGCAGTCGACACGCACACACTGAAACTTATCTATGGCCAGTAATTGGCAGAGTCATGAAACGCTCTGGTCATGCGCGCGTCTCGCCACACATAGTCCAAGCCAATTAGTATTGAGGTTGGACTTGGCTAATCGAAGAACCATGCGAGAGCATTAATAATGTAGCAAGCAGCTAATGCACTGCTAATGCTGGACAAGTTGACGCCCTCGCTCACAGATACCCTAACTGTTGTGTGTGCCCAGGCGACTTTCTGTTTGACTTTGACAAAGTTTCCAATCTGCCAATGGGCGACGCAACTTTGATCAATTTCTTTGGTTCTGCCGCCCTCAACTTGTGGCCATGCTGTGACTTGACTAGAGTCTCGAGTAGTTCCATACTTCATTGAACTTTGAACAAGCCATCGCAATCGCCTTCGCTCTGTAATGCAGGACAAAGTTTTTAGCCCCCACCCCCACACACACACCTTCATCATAAATCAATACAGTTGAGTTTTTCGTGCATCGTTTGAGTCCATTTGGCCATTTGGCCATCTGCACTCGCTTCAAGTGCGATTTCAATTGCCTTCGCTTGAACTTTTCTAGACTTTGCTCACAGTCCAAGCGAGTGAAAATATTAAAAATTCTGCTTAGTGCGTTAAAAGTCTCTGCTCAGCTGCCGTTAGCAAGCTTGTTACAATATATAAAAAACTGAGCAATACTTTCCGCCGTAAGTCCTTTACTTTAACTAAGTCCTTGGAAGCACTTCAAGAAACGCATTGCTCCTGCGAGCGAAAGCCACTGCAATTTCTATGTTTTTTATAGTCGAAATAAAGGAAAAACCTTGGGGCTGGCAAATGGCTGTTGGCAAAATGCAAAGAAAACAAGCGTAACTGAAATATAAATACATTTTATTTTGTTTCATTTCTACCTGAAAACCCTGAATTAAGTGAAATGTTTTTGTTGCAGTGTAACTGACAGCGTAAAGCACATTTCTATTCTTGACCTGGATCAACCAAGCTGAGCTGAGCTGAGCTATCTTTGTATCTGAACTTACGTCACTAAAAACTTATAAAAGCTTGCGTCTTGAAGTTGCTCGATTCACTACACCTAGATCAACTTGTTTTCTAATCATCAATATCTTTTCATATCATAATCGATTAAAATCGATATCCTGCTTTATTATTAAGAGCATAGCTTGCTCATCTTAAGATCTATCATGCTTCTAATGCAGTTTCTCCTCTTACACTTTATTTAATCTATGAATTATATATACCTTTCGAAAACCTTTTTGTTACATCACAATTCAAATTAATTGAAATTCAATAAGCTAAGGAATTACTCGATCCTTGAGTAACTTGAGGCACTTACTCTATGTCTCTCGCTTTTTAAAATATTCTTATTGGAAATCTATACAGAGTATCACAATTGAAAGTCAATTACATTTCATGTCATGTTAGAAAACATTTCGAAGCGTGAATAAGAGAGAAGGAAAGAGATTTTTCTAATAGCTGAAAATCTTCATAAACATATTATTTATTTGCATTCTGATGATAGACATGTATAGACAGTGCTTAGCTAGAACATTTTGCACAGCTGTTATTCTGGGTATTTCCTAGTCGTGCACTTCCAATAAGCATTAAATATTAAAACATTAAGAGCAAAGCATATAGAGACCATTCCAAGCTTGTGTTTTGATTAGTACTTGGAAGTATTTCGCTAGTATTTGCAACTAATAAGACTCACAGGACTGCCAAATTGCATGATAAATCATGGCCGAGCTCGTAAATAAACAAAGTATTTAATATGAAAAGAGTAAAATGTAAATTGTGAACACCGCAAATATTTTGCTGGTGGCAAGTGGAAGTGCAATAAATTTGGTGCACGGGCGGATGCTGCAGCTGCAGCCAGAAACTGAAACTGAAACTGAAACTGAAACGGGCAAAGAGCGCTTTGGTCGTCGCGGCATGCGACATGCTTCATACAGCCACTGCTTCAATTCAGTGGGTCTAGGGCCAAGCGACTTCCTGCAAATGTCAATGTGTTGCGCTTGGAAACAAAGCGATGCTAAAATTCTTGTTGTTGCTCTTGTTGTTGCCGCACGTTTGCACTCAAAATGCACTAAACATAAACTAAAAGCAACAACAACAACGAGAACAAACAGCAGACCGCACAGCCACAGCAACCAAACTTTGGAGTCGACCCTCGCACAGCGCACAGTTTGTGCTTAATAACTTAGTTTTTTTGCAAGCCACGCAACTGCGGCCAAGTCCAAAACTTTGCAACTCTGCTGCGACCTGGACCAAAGCATCATGAAATTTCCATCGAACCAAAACATAAATTTATAGTAAAAAGTGTGACTGCTGCTGTCTATAAAGTACTCTGTTTTAGGGCGGAGTGTGTGGGTGCAATGGACATGGGAAACATGTGTAAATTTGTCAATATAGAAATTAATATATGGAGGCAGTGCCTCGACGAGACTGCCTGATTGGCAGTATGAGAACAGAGTGTCTAGACGATGCTGCCTGACTATGAGTTCATACTCAGGCTTAGTCTATAGACAGAGAACCTAGTTGAGAATGTCTGAATGTGGGAATAGTCCTTAGATTAGACTAGGGGTTACTCTAGAGTTCATACTCAACTTTAGTCCATTTACACTTTTAGTAAAAATAGTCCCTAGCTGAGACTTGCTGACAAGGAGTTACTCTGCAGTCCATACTCAGCTTTATATATTTACAGATGTGTTTTCTTGAGTCCCTAGCAGAGACTACCCGACTAGGACTTACTCTGCCTTTGAAAAGAGTTCCAAAAAGGCATTTCCTGGCACTCTAGGCTCAGTTTTATCCTAATATAGACATAGCTGTTTGCGGGCAAAGAGTTTCTCGACGATGCTGACTGACGATAAGATACTCTGCACTTCATGCAACAGCCTTAACCCATATTCACAGTCGTAAGACAATTAATTGATTAAATGAGAGTGGGTAAAGTTATCGATTAAGAGCAACAAACTTGTTTTGCGTGCTGTGTATAAAACTCTAGCTTATGAGCTAGGACAGACGAATAGACGGACGTACAGAAGAAAAGACAGGCAGACGGACAAACGCGCGGACTGACAGATGGGCAGACGAAGAGAGGAATGGTCAGCGGCTACAGACATTGGCAACAAATAGGACTTAATCAACTAGTACGTAATATAGCCGAGTCCAACCGAAACATTTACCTTTGCCCGCAATCACTCACCTTGAGTAACCGCTATAATGTTGAGCAAGTGTTCCACATTCATTTCGTATATTAAGTGAGAGGGCTCGGGAACGTTT